TTCACTTAATACAATATCCTCAAGGTTTATTCATGCTGTCTCAAATGACAGGATTTCACCCCTTTTTAAGGTCGAAGAGTATTCCATTGTGTATGCATACCACACTCCCCTTACCCATTCATATGATGATGCACGCCAAGGCTGCTTCCATATCTTAGCGATGCATGGGGGTGCAACAGCTCTTTGACATACTGAATTCAATTCTTTTGGGTATATACCAAGAAGGGGAATTAATTGCTACATCGTATGGTAATTATATTTTTAGTTTTTTGAGGCACCTTTATACTGTTTTCCATCATGGCTGTACTAATTTACATTTCCACCAATAGTATGTAAGGGTTTCCTTTCCTCTGCAATCTTGCCAATTTATTCTGATAATACCATTCTAACAGAAGTGAGGTTATAACTCGCTGCTGTTTTAAGTTCCATTTCGCTGATTTTGAGCATTTTTCACTTGCATGTCCTCTTTTGAGAGATGTCTTTTTAGGTCATTTGCCTAATTTTTAACTGAATTATTATTATTATTATTGCTGGTGAGTTTCTTGTATTTCTTGGTTATTACTTTCTTTCTTTCTTTTTTTTTTTTAAGAGAGGATTTTGCTATAGGGCACGTGTGCTTGCCAGAGAGACAGAGAGAGACAGAGAGACAGAAAATGAGAAATCACCCTCAGAGGGGATGACCAAGCTGCAATCCCTTCTCCTCCATTCTCCTCTTGGGATTTTGGGCAAACATGCACACGTGCCCAGTGTGAGTTTAAGCCCCAGGGTCCAGGACTCGAACTGCGGTCGACTACGTGGGAGTCCAGTGACATAGCCATTATACTAACTGCTGGTCCCCGTTATTATTTTCTTGACAGATAAATAATTTGCAAACATTTTCTCCATTCTGAGGGTTTTCTTCACTTTGTTGGTTATTTCCTTTGCTGTGCAGAAGATGATGTTATTTTCAAGGTCACAGCCAAAAATAAATTATTGCCCAGAACAATGACATGGGGCATACATTTCTGTTTTCAGTGATAACCCTTTACTTAATGCATAATCACTGCAATTTTGGTCTTTGAAAAATAATCAGTTTATTAAAAAACGATTTGAGTGAATAGTACATTCTAGACTTTCTGCTAATTGCTAAAGCAATTGCCTCACCTCAAGGAGCCCACCATTGGTGAGACATGGGGCAATGTAACTGAATAGGAGAATGCAATGGGATTAGTGATAAAAGAGTAGTGATGATAAAGTTTTGGGGGAACATAAAGAATGGCATCTCTTAATTTTATCTAGAGAATATATATGTGTGTATACACACACACACACACACAGAGAGACACAGAGAGAGAGAGAGAGAATTCTGTAGGCAAAGAGGTTCTCAGTAGGGAAACAGCATGATTAGATTAAGGCTTAGGATAATTTCCCTGGCAATGCTGTGGAGAATATGTTGGAGAGGGAGTGGGCCCTAGACTGCAAGACGGGCTGGTCTACCACGATAGCTCCAACACGGGATGCCGATGGCCTAGCTTGAGCAGTGTGAAAGAGAAGAGGCATCCTGAAGAGCGCCTTCAAAGGTGCACCTATGGCAGCTTGCTTGACAGCTACAGATGGCTGCACAGCAACGAGTCTGTGTTTGGGAACTGGATGGAAGAGAATACATGGCCGCCAGTCAAGAAGCAACAGGAGAAGCGGTTTGAAGGAAAGCTGTCCTCCAAGCGCGAGGCCCAATGGTGTAGCAATGTGCGGGTAAGTTAGAGATACCCTGAGGTTCAGAGTGAGGTAGCGACATGCAGGTGAGTCAGAGACGTCCTGTGGTTCAGAATAAAGTCTGGCTAAAAAATTAAATGCCAAGAAGAGCCCTGAGCAACCCCACCGCCATCGCTGGCTTAGTTATCATCACACCCCGGAGGAGACGCAGCTGCCGCAGCCAGCCCCAGTCACCAGCACTGTAACCATGAGCAGCTGCCCGCTGCCCCTGCCCTCACCGCTGCCGAGACCAAGCCCGGCACCACGGGCAGTGGCACAGGGAGCGGTGGCCTGGGTGGCCTCGCGTCGGTGGTGCCTGCTGGTGGGGACAAGAAGGTCCGCAACAAAGTTTTGGGAACAGTGAAATGGTTCAATGTAAGTGTTCATGGTTTCATCCACAGGAATGACACCGAGGAAGACGTTTCTGTACACCAGACTGCCATAAAGAATGACCCCAGGAAGCACCTTCGCAGTGCAGGAGATGGAGAGCCGGTGGGATTGGATGTCGTTGAAGGAGAAAAGGGTGCGGAGGCAGCAGGTGTCGCAGGCCCCGGTGGAGTTCCAGTTCAAGGCAGTAAACATGCAGCAGACTGTAACCATTATAGACGCTATCCACGTCGCAGGGGTCCTCCACGCAATTAGCAGCCAAATGACCAGAATAGTGAGAGTGGGGAAAACAACGAGGGACCGGAGAGCGCTCCCGAAGGCCAGGCCCAACAACCGGCCCTACTGCAGGTGAAGGTTCCCCCCTTACTACATGCGGAGACCCTGTGGGCAGCGGCCGCAGTATTCCAACCCCGTGCAGGGAGAAGTGATGGAGGGTGCTGGTAACCAGGGTGCAGCAGGACAACGTAGACCAGGGAGGCTGAATATGTATCGGGGTTATAGACCACAGTTTCGCAGGGGCCCTCCTGGCCAAAGACAGACCAGAGAGGACGGCAATGAAGAGGATAAGGAAAATCAAGAAGATGAGACCCGAGGTCAGCAGCCAACACAACGTCGGTACTGATGCAACTTCAATTACCGACGCAGATGCCCAGAGACCCCTAAACCACAGGATGGCAGAGACAAAAGCAGCCGATCCACCAGCTGAGAATATATCCGCTCTGGAGGCTGAGCAGGGGGCGCTGGGTAAATGCCGGTTTACCATCTCTACCATCATCCGGTGTAGTCACCCTACAAGAAGTGAACGTGAAATTCCCGCAGTCAGAAATGAACAGAAGATCGGAGCTGAAGCCCTTACGTGCTTGCTTTTTGCTGTTGACCAGATGACTGGAACTATCCGCATTATCTATGCAGCACGGGATTTTTACTATTTTTACCTAAAGTTGTCTCTTTTTTGGTAAGGACAAACGTGTTTTTTAAAAAAGCCTGATTTTTCTCAATACACCTTTAAAGGTTTTTAAATTGTTTCATGTATGGTCAAGTTGAGATTTTTAAGAAGTTTCTTTTTAATTTGTAATAAAAGTTTACAACTTGATTTTTTTTTTTTCAAAAAAGTCAACAAACTGCAAGCACCTGTTAATAAAGGTCTTAAATAATCGTTAAAAAATTAAATGCCATTGGTGAAAAATCTCTTAGACGTTAGCCTGTAATTTTTAAGGAAACATGGGAGTGTTTTTATTCCTAATAACCATGACAAAACCTTTCCACGTATCATTGATATATGTATTTTGTAGATACCTACATAGAACAAGCAACTATAAAACTCTGAGTGTCAGAGAGGTTGTAGTGCGACTAGTAAACCCTGCCGGGTGCTACAAACCGAAACTACAGCTGGGGTGGAAAGACTAGATTGTAATTAGGGAGAGTAGGAGTCCGCATGCCCTCCGAGGTCTCTGTCTTAGGGGTGTACAGAGACCCCCCTACTCAGAATTGTCGTTCCTACCTACACGGGTTAGATTGGACTTACCTTGGGAAAGCAGCGAGCTCCCATGAAGACTGAGTTAGGCCCAGCGAGGGTGCCCACCTGCCCACAGTCCTACCCCTCATCTCTTGAGAGATCCCAGATTGTAATATGTAAGAAGAGTTAGCAAGATGGTCGTGTGGGGACCAGCAGGTGGCGTTATGGCTATGTCACTGAACTCCCATGTAGCTGGCCGCGGTTCAAATTCCGGACCCGGTGGCTTAAACTCATGCCGGGTGTGTGTGCGTGCGTGCCCAAGATCCCGAGAGGAGAATGGAGGAGAAGGGATTGCGGTGTGGCCATCCCCCCTGGGGGGGGTGATTTCTCACTTCTTTTCCCTCTCTCTCTGTCTGTCTGGCGAGCACACGTGCCTTATAGCACAAACCTCTCAAAAAAAATAAAAATAAGAATGACGATATGGCTTCACCCCGTGATTGTACTCCCTAGCCACTAAAGGGAAACAATGCAGTGTATGTTAATGAAAATTGACATCTACAGGTATGGTCTATAGGCCAGTATGTTATAAGGCAATGGTTTAAGGTGCACGCATTTACTCAAAGTAGAAACACGAAGACTGAAGAAGCATAGAAAGATATTTAAACTGATGTTCAAATAATACTTATACTGGTCATACTTACACGAACATATGTATAACAGTAAAGACTTGCCAGAAAAACATTAAAAATGAAAACCGTCAGAAGGGTTAGATTATAGAGAACTCCTTTAAAAATATTTATTTATTTATTATTATTATTAATTGAATTTGCTATGGGGCACATGCACTCACCAGAGAGAGAGAGAAAGTAAGAAAGCTTACCACTGTTTCCGGGACTTGAACCATGATTGACTGTGTGGGAGTCCAGTGCCTTAGCCACTATGCCACCTGCTGGTTCTCCCTTTTTCTCCCCTAAAATAAAGCTGGTGAAGGACAGCTCTTCAAAATGTATGTAAGCTGAGTGAAGCAAGCCCACGCTCAGAACATGCTTTCATCGTTTCCTGAATACTGGGGATGGTGGGGTGAAGAAGACGGCGTGTGGAGGGGAAGAAAGGGGGACAAAGGGATGAGCAACTCACGGGAGAGCGGCCCCCGTCTCCTCTCGGGGAGTTGGACAGCACTGGGGAGGCCTCGTGTCACCCTGGGTGTCACGGGAGGTAGTGGCCTGGACCACAGTGGCCACCCCACCCTGTTTCCTGTTCTCTGCCCTGTACGGGGCCATGACGCCGAGGGCCCTGGGCCATCTGCAGTGGAAGGTCTGAACTCAGCTGCAGCCAGAGAGGAGGCGACCACGTTTTCTTTTATGTCTACACTTGTTTCAGTGACACGAAAACCACAGCAGAGGGGAAAGGGCCACAAGGTGTGGGGCTAATATGAATGGGCAAAGGAACTTCTGAAAAAAGAACAAAACCCATTAGCATAGCGAAGTTTCCGAGATTCCACGCCCACCCTGAAAGCCCCTGTCACACAGGAAGTGCGCTGACCCAGGAGGGATAAAAGAGGCTCCAGAGAGGCACAGTCCTCACTCCTCCTCACAGCCCAGCGGGACCACAGCCATGAGACCTCTCATCCTGGCCCTCCTTGGCGTCTGCTGTCTCGCCACCTCACTCGTGGAAGGTGAGTCTGGGATCTCGAGAGATGAGGGGTAGGACTGCGGGCAGGTGGGCACCCTCGCTGGGCCTGACTCAGTCTTCATGGGAGCTCGCTGCTTTCCCAAGGTAAGTCCAACCTAACCCGTGTAGGTAGGAACGACGATTCTGACTGGGGGGTCTCTGTACACTCCTAAGACAGAGACCTCGGAGGGCACGCGGACTCCTACTCTCCCTAATTGATGATTTGGGGTAAATTTTTAAATCACTCTGGGCCTGTACTTACTGATCTTTATAAGCTAAACACAATAACAGACATGCTCATTTGAAATGAAAATTAAATCTTATTATTACTTAAGCACATTAGATGTCCATAGAAATCGAAGTGGGCTAAGGTTAGTGACAGGATGGTGGTGGTGATTATAAATGTATGTGCAGCCTTTGCCCCGTTAGTGTCAGTCATGGCAAATGCTCAGAGGCCGTGGGAGTCCAGCCACACTGTGGAGGCGAGCTCTGGCATGTATGCTCAGAAGCAAATCGCTGTTTTCTATTCAATAAATCAACCCGAAATGCCCGGAAGCTCAGCTCTTCACATGCAGGAGATCAATAGCACCTTCAAGAACGAGGTGGGGTCTCATTCCGGCTGTGGGTGTTGGCATCCGTGAGCCACTTCTAGAATGTGTGAGACAGTAAATGCTAACAGCGGAGGAGCACCTCATACCCACTCACACGGCGTTCTCAGCTCAGAGTCAGGCACACTGAGCCTGCCTGCTCAACATTGCTTTCTTTCCTTCTTTGTCCTTCCTTCTTTCTCTCTCTCTCTCTCTTTCCTTTCTTCCTTCCTTCCTTCCTTCCTTCCTTCCTTCCTTTCTTTTTCTTTTTTAGAGGTTTTCGCTATAGGGCACCTGCACTCGCCAGAAAGACAGAGAGGCAGAGAGACAGAAAGCGAGAAATCACCCCCCAGGGGGATGGCCACGCCGCAATCCCTTCTCCTCCATTCTCCTCTCGGGATCTTGGGCACGTACACACACGCACCTGGCGTGAGTTTAAGCCACAGGGTCCTGGACTTGAACCGCAGTCGACTACGTGGGAGTCTAGCAACATAGCCATCATGCCATCTGCTGGTCCCAAGGTTCAACATTTCTTAAAGGCTCCCTTTTCCTACTGGCAGAGTGACCCTGTGGACGTCTCTGTACCCTAGTCTCTGTCCCGATCTGTAGCCTTATCTAGATTAGCGTATGGAAACCTGATGGTGGATTCCCAGGCGGCCGTGAACAAAGGTGGCCAGTCTGGATCTCCTCGACACTGTGGGCACAACAGAACATGCTGAGGGGCAGTAGTAACGCTAACCGTGCTAGGCTGCGTGTGGCCTTGTGGTTGTGGGGGAGAACCAGGCCCGGGCGGGGAAGAGATGGACCCCTTACAGGCCGAGGAGAACCGCACACGCACGTCTCGAATTCCCTTGTTTCCTGCTTGAAGGAGCTCGGAAGGTCCTCGCAGCGTGCAGCTTCTTATGTACAAAAATGGGGCAAGACTCTGCTCTCACCCAACTGCACACTGAGAGGGAATTTTCATGGGTAACTCAGACACGCAGCCATGGCTGAGAGTTTGAGAGAATGACAGGCTTCTCTGGGCCTTGGCAGTCCGTGTTAGCTGTTTCACAGAGAAAAAACAGCTTTGTGCGTAGTGAGCGAAACAGAAGAAAACCACCCAGATTTTCCTCTCAGCGGGTTCAGACAAGGCTCAGCATGGACAGTGACTTCTCCAAGACTGAGGGGAAAGGCCGGCCCTCAGAGCGGTGAGGAGCTGCATTGGAGAAAAGCAGTCGGGCACCTCGGGCTTCACTTCATGCGTGGAAATGCCTCCTAATAGCGGCAGCTCTGCAGAGCTGACCTGGTCACTGTCAGTGGCCACTTTCGTTTTTTTAAGGTTTTTGCCAGAGTGTGTGTGCTTGCTGGACAGAGATAGTGGGAGACAGAGAGAGGGATGGTGAGAAATCACTCCCGGGAGGATGGCCATGCTGTAATCCCATCTCCTTCATCCTCCTCCTGGGATTTCTGGCTCACACACACAACCGTCCAAGCAGGCGTTTGTAAGCCACCAGGTCCAGGACTCAAACTGCGGTTGGTGGGAGTCCAGCACCTTAACCACCACGCCACCTGCTGGCCCCATCAGTGATGATTAGCTGCCGATTTCTCTTGAAGCACAGAGTCTCAACAGCTGAGGAGCAAATCAATACTTGGAAACTTTATTTATTATTTATTTTTTTTGAGAGGTTTTTTGTTATAGGGCATGTGCGCTCGCCAGACAGACAGAGAGAGACATAGAGACAGAAAGCGAGAAATCACCCCCCAGGGGGGACGGTCACGCCACAATCCCTCCTCCTCCATTCTCCTCTCGGGATCTTGGGCACGCATGCACACGCGCCTGGCGTGAGTTTTAAGCCACCGGGTCTGGGACACGAATCGCGGTCGACTACGTGGGAGTCCAGCGACATAGCCATTACGCTAACTGCTGGTTCCCAATACTTGGAAACTTTTGTAAGGTTTTGACCAATCCTTTAGATTATTAGCTTTCTCAATTTTTTTTCTCTTTTGTGATGTAAGATGGTTCTCTAAATCTAATTTAATTCCCCTTGGGGCATTTTTATAGAATGTAAAAATGGATATTGTAGGAACTTCTTCCTTTACATATTTTACGTTTCCCTATTTAAGAGAGAAAGACCTTTATTCAGTCAAAGCCAGCTGTCTCCCAGCTCAGGGCGCCTTCCCGAGCTCCTGCCAGCCTCCCTCGCTGGAAGGTGTGCTCCGTGAACGCAGGGACATCTGTCTTAATTGGCATCTTAAACACTTGGGGACACAACGGCATTCGATAATTAGCGGCTGTATGAATGCGTGAACCTGCGTCACCGGGCACCTGCCTGCCGTCCTGTCTCCGGATGGATGTAAACCCAGAGATGGAAAACACCTTGATATTGTCTCTTGCTGTGACATTCCTGGAACGTGCTAGCGACTTCGTTTTTCATTAGTCAAACACTGACTGATAATCTAAGCTGTGGAAGAGACCGACAATGCCAGAGTGAATCAGTTCTCCTCGGAAGGCTCAGATGGCTTCCTACCTCTACAGCATCCCGCTGTTTAACACTGACTGTTCCCCGGAACCTGATAACTGACCTGTAGTTTTACTTTCGTCTGTTTTTTCCAGGTGTGGGCAATGAAGTCCCAGAAAAAAGCATCTGTGTGAGTCTAACAACCAAGCGACTGCCAGTGAATAGAATCAAGACATACACCATCAGGGAGGGCTCCATGCGCGCCGTCATGTGAGTGTGGCCCCGAGCTGGGCTGGGCTGCGGGTGCAGAGAGAAATGCTGCCCTCCTCAGGACGAACAGGTCGGGTGGAGGGGCACCCCACTCACGCAGGGCCCCCTGTCTCCATGTCAACATGCCTCCACAGCTCTGCCGGGGCGTGGTCACTGCAACGCTTGGTGGGCAGGGACAGACTCCGTCTTCCTTTCTGACTCAGCTCAGCAGAAGAGTCTGGAAGCCAAGTGAATGCTGTGGCAGCTCTGAGGAAGCTTAGGGAGTGTGGCTGGATCAGGGGCTGTCACCTGGCCACCCGGTGTGGGCGCTCCAGCTGGAGCTAGGCAGAGAGCCGACCTCTGACTCCGACACGCTCAGGGGCTGAGTCGGAAACGGCCTCGCAGCCCCGTGTCTTCCCAGGGTGGCATTTTTAGAAGCAGCAGCTCTTCCCGGCACTTACTTGCAAGCTTTGTGCTAAGAAATTACAATAAAGAAATTACCTTTGTCCCCAAAACCAAGATGGGTCCAGGCGTGGGAAGGAAGAGGAAATAGAGTAGGTGCACCAGATCCATCCCGTGTCCGGCTTCGTGACTCGTGGGGAAAGGTGTCTGGGACTGTGGGGACAAGGAGGTGCATTTTATCCGCAGAGGAGAGGTGGCAGGAGGAAGGACGTCTTCACGTCGGGTCTGACCCTGACGCCCACAGACGTGGCTAACGGTGTTGCTCTCTCTCGCATCACAGCTTCATTACCAGACGTGGCCTGCAAATCTGCGCTGACCCGGAGGCCGGCTGGGTGCAAACAGCAGTCAAGATCTTAAACAGCACCTCCAAGGCCCCAACCAAGCCCACAGGCACCCAGTCGTCCACCCGCATGTCTGGGACACTGACTGGGTAGCCGTCCCCAGCCACTGGCCGCCAGCCAGCTGGCTTGCTTTGCAAGCTCACGGACTTGATAGAATGTACCAAATTATTTTCTGTGTTTGTATGAGTTAATGTCTTTCATATTTGTTTAAATGCTCTAATGAATAAGTATTTATTATCGAGGACGGTTCCACAGTCTGTGTTATTCTCAGGGAAAGGCAATGTGTCATTTCCGTCCTGCCCTGTCCTCCCCGAGCCGCCCCGTTACTGCCCAGACCACACGTGACTGTGGACAGTGCCCAGAGGTAGAAGCTGCGTTCAGGAACGCTTAGGTCTTGGCTTGGAATAGCTTTCTACATACGAGTCCCAAGTGACGACTGTCCCAACAGCAGAGCCAAGATGCTTCCGGCGTGTCTTCACAATAGACTTCTTAGAGGACGGGGGTCAAATCGGTCAGCGGGCCCACCGTCCCAGCTCCTGCTGCGCACCGCCTTGGCCCAGCTCCATCTCCGGCAAAGTCTCTCCATCCCTGGGCTGCGCTTTGATCTCCCGTTAGAGGGAAAG